CCCTCAACACGACCCCGCGGGACACAGGCGCCACGAGCCCCGGCCCCTCGACGTGGGGCCCCGTGCCCTCCACACCTTCAACACGGGCCCTGCACCCTCTGCCCCGCGACACGGGCCCCGTGTCCCCAACACGGGCCCCGGCTCCCTCCCGAGGCCGCTGCCCGTCCCCAGGTCCAACCGCGCTGCGCAATGACCAGGCACCGGCATCGCCGCTTGGTTTGACGCTTTCCTATTTATTAGATTTTACACTGCACATATTTACAAAGGCATCCGTAACGCACGCTATTTATTGTGGTGGCAACTGTCAATCAATCATTACAACACGATTCGTACTGTCGTTGCACACGGTGAAAGAGAGGCTGTGAGCTCCCTGTTTAACTACCATGAATTTCAAATATTACTAATTCTTTAACAATTAAGTGGATTGAGCCAGCTTTATAAATCTATGTTTCTGTGGTAGATATTTTAATAAGTATAAATAAATCACCTCTTATTAAACTTACCTAAAATAAATGAAGCTTTTAACCATAAAATAGTTGGGGTGTGCTTAGTACCCAAGTCTTCTACAGCATCAGATTCTTCTCAAAATATATGGAGCGCTCCCTGGTACAAACTAATTATGTACAGAACAATTTAGGAAACTTTCTTAAATATATTGGCACTGTTATATATTAATACAAATAAGAATGGTGTGATTTAACTGATTGTCTAGTCAGCCTGTAATTATCAGAAATTATTATGATCCAAAACCAGTACAAGTCTCATGTTGAATTAAGAATCATTATTTAAAATCCATTCCATTCATTTCTATGGCAGAGTCCTGGCAACTTTTCCATTTAAAATTATGGGTAAGACCCAACTGCTGGTTCTATTCAAATTATTACAGCTTAGATTAAAAAAGGTACAATTTTAAACTTAATATATAAATCTCACAGGTGGCTACCTGGTTGAAAAGTTGTTTTTGTCTTGTTTGAAATACAAACTGAAGGTGCTTACCCATAGTGAGCACTGATTATATATTTTGCTGCACTGTTTCTCTGCACTGTTGCACGGAAGCATCCAAGAGGAATCTCAGCACTTAAATCAGCTGCAGCAGAGCTGCATTCAGCTCCACTCCTCTAACTAACTGCATCACGGTTTGCTTGCTTAAAAAGGAATTGTCTTTTGAAATGAAAGAACAGAGTGTTTTCAAAAAAAAAAAAAAAAAAAAAAAGGGACCAAAATTGTAGAAGGCCAGAGCCTACTTTGGTTCTTCTGTGAATTTCTGTGAGCAAAGAACCGGTCAGGAAGGAGCTGCTTGGTTAACATGAATCTCAAAGAGAGATTACAGAAAAACAGAGCACAAAAATCAGCTAAAAACAGTGTGATCCTTTGGGGTAAAACACCCACAATGGTTGGAATGGGTTATTACAGCAGAAGTGCCCTAAGTCCTTGTTTACACGCTGCAAGTAAATGAGGACCTCCACAAACATCAGAAAAAAAACTAACTAAAATATCTAAAAATATCACTTGCCATAAATTATCACCATCTAGTGAATCTTAAGGAAACCTCAGTCCAAAGCCTTTTATCAAGCTTGTGTTTTTACGAATTCAGGATAGATGAATGTCTTCCCCTAGACAGTGTGTATTTAATGAACTCCATTTTGGGAAGCTGAAAGGCAATCCTTATCTCTCTTTTGAAGAGTAAAGACTATAGAAGTTGTAAAAAGAAATTGTATTGTGGCATCAAAAAAACCCCATCACAAACAGTACTTAAAGCATATTTTCAAAGGGACTAAAAAGTTAGTTATTTTGTATTTGCTAAAGCAAAATTTACTGTTATTTAAGTACATTCATTTTTTGCTTACAGTAGTTAGAAGAAACTGTTTCAAACATAATCGAATGAATGGACAGATTTTAAATATTTTATTGCTTACATCTTGTCAAACGTGTTAAATGTCTGGTATAGGAACAAAAACCCAACTCTCCCCATGAACAGTTAAGCTTTTTGCAAAAATAACTTTGCTCGTTACACTTTTCTTGTCTCTCGAAAATGAATGCCAAATAAATCTGGAATTTCTAAGCCTCACTTTTGCACAAACTTTCATGCTTACATACAGCTTTTTGTGTGCAAACGTAAGGCAGTTAGGCCTAGTAAGGTCCCCCAGAACAGAGTCTGAAGTCCGCTGAACCTTTTGCTTCTTTTGAAGTTTTGACTTCTCCATTAAAGTTCCCAGGAGAGATCACGAGATAGAAGAAACGCTGATATTTATTAACACACATATTCGAAAGATTGTTTTCTCCATGTAACAAATATAAAAAGTTATCTGTGTTTACAAAGTCTCAAAAACGCCTGAAGTACAAAAAGGTGCCGTGCGGGAGCAGGGGGGCGGCGGGGCCCGGCGCTCGGGGCCGCGCGCTCCACGCGGCAGCGGCTCCTGCGCCGGACGGGACGCGGCGGGAAACGGGGCCTGGTGCCGCCTGCATCCGCTGCTCCTCTTCCCTGGCTACACTAGAACCATCAGCTGGAACGCGCTGTGCCTTTCCAGCTGTCCCAAACCAATATAAACAAGGAGAAAGTACCAACTGCACCAAAGGGCGGCGTGTGGAAAAAGCCTTGGTTGTTCCTCTTTGGGAAAGGGAACTTTGGGGAAAAGGTGCGGAAATGGGAGACATTTTCTGTCTTTTATCTGTCGTTCATATGTGCACGTGCATAGGCACCTGTCCGGCACGTAGCTCCGTGTCAATTTAAGCACCTCATGCTACAAAATAATGTACATACAGGGATCCACTTCAATCCCCTGGAAACCATCAGAAGATTTAGCAGCAACAAATACCCAGTCACAAACTCAGGACATCCAAAACCTCACATTACTATCTGTGGAAAAAGAGCATTCACTATTTATGTCAAACAAACACCTTTTTATATGTTATTGAATTAGAATTTGTTGGTGCCAGATAAAAAACTCATCAACAGAACACAGATTTAGCCAGAGGAGCCAGTTAGTTGGTAGAATGACTCTATTAATAGAGATTGTTCTTGTTAATATATATGCTGATCTTCTTAAGACAAACCAAATACCTAAATATTTTATGAACTTAGAAGTAAGCTTTCAGTAGTAAGAGGATTTTTTTTCATATATTTTTAAGTCTACTTGGAACTCTTTCAGTTTAGGAAGAGGCAAGAGTGAATTTACCAAAATACTGTACTTCATAAAGATTTTTAATTGTACACAGGGAGACTTTAATATATATTTTTACAGAAGATCTTCAGAGTTACCTGCAAGCAATAAACCCATCCTAGCCTGTATTTTGTGTCTACGTTCAATTCCAAAGCAAACTCATGCTGGAGGCTTTGGATAGCCACCTCAAGGGTTATCTAACATTCCCAATATTTATATAACCAGGTACACGAGTAGCAAAGCTTTTTAGTCAGACTGTGTGGAACTAACTACCCTCAGTTTAATATAAACGTGCTTTTAATTCCCAGGTAACAAAAAAGGACATGGGCAGAAGCCTGTGTCATATACTTGCCTCAAATCTTTGAAATGTTGTCATACGGAATTCTCCTTTAATCCCCGAAAGCAGTAATGAAGAAGAAGGAATTTGAATGAAAACAAGAGCTTCTTATGTAACTCCTCAGTAAAAACAAACCCTCCTCTGAGAGCTGCAGAACACATTTACCTCCGGAGTTTTGCCTAAATACTCCTCTGAATACTCCAAAGTTATACTTTGGCCTCTACATTTTCCTAGTATTATCCTCTTTCCTACATGACTGAAGTTTTTTTTTCCTAAAATCTGACAAAAGAGGACAAATCCCAGCTTTTCCTGATGCTTGATGGGGATCATCATAAGCTCAATCAGTATGTTAGGATTTGTGGAAAAGGTGCACAATGCAGACACTGGAGGCCAGCCCTGTGGATACACTTGTTCTCCCCCCAGATTCCTGAATATCAACTGTTCATGTTTAGTACTAGCAAGAAAAAAGCTGGTTTTTAAGAAGCTTAGATGGTATGGGCAGGAATAAGACGATTTAATTTCCTAACTGTCTCTAGGAATCTGGCTATAATTGGGCATTGTAAATAGAAAATGGTTTCTATGTTTCTTTTAGCTCTTCCACATTCCAGTTGCTCACGCTGAGTCCCACTGCAGCATTTTCCCTACTTGCCCTATAATCTATTCCAATTTTCCACCGATTTATCCCCCAAAGGCTGGAAAAGCAGCACGGTAATACTTCATTTGGTTTGAAAATGCCCACAGACTGTCTGTTTGCACTGGTGATTCCTGCCCCACTGCCCACTTGATTGGCAGAGCAATTTCTTAATACTGACCTGCAGTCTGCTGCTGCGGAATCTGGGTTTGATGAGGCAGGTTCCTACAAAAAAAAAATAAAAAAAAAAAAAAAAAGGAAAAAGAAAATCTTTTAATGCTTTTGTGCAAAAAGTAGGTTACACATAAAAATTCAGTCATTCTATTCAAAGATGTAGTGTTTTTTGCTTATAAAGCAATAATCCATCATTGTTCTTAGGTAACTGCTATTGATAAGAGGCTAGATAAGTCAACAAAAGAAACAAAAATACTGTTAATGGGTAGCTCCTGTAACTCCACACGTCCTAAAGGACAGCAGGAGGCACCTGCTGAGGCAGAGAGAGGGTGACTGCAGCTCTGAAACTCTACGGAGCGCGGCGCGGATGAATATTCAGCTGGTATCACGGACCAGCTAAAGTTGTGTGCTCTTCCTAAGCGTCTCTTTTAATGGTACTCAGCACTGGAGTTGTTTTTACAGGAAGGAATTGGAGACAGGACTGCAGGTGAGTGGCAGGAGCCGAAGGTGCAACTTCGCAGGGCCTTTGGCACGAGCTCCAGAACTTCCATTATAAAAACACCTACAGGGCAGGTACAGACCCGGATTCCTGCTTTGGAACAACCAAGTGAACAAGGAGAGACACATGCAGAGAGGTTTGCAGCACGAGGTACATGAAATAACGCCCAAAGCAGCTCTGGAAGCCCAATCTTGACTGTGAAGGGGCCAGGGGCTGCCCCGCCAAGCGGCTCCCGGGCCCCACACACTCACCCAGCGCTGGGCTGGGCTGGAACGCAGGCGGACGCAGCAATCCATGTGGGAGTGTATCCAGGTCATGCAGCTCCTGGCCTTACTTAACTACTACTACAGCATAAACGTTACATCTGAATACTTAACAATTACTGCGGCATAAATGTTACATCTGGGTCTGCAAAATATGGTTTAAGATTATTTAAAGTGTTTTCTCATTAGCCAAAGAACAAATAAGATGTTGCCTATCAATAAGAATACAGCAAAAGGTACACTGATAACTGTAATTTCTCTGCTAACCCCTTAGTGTGACAGAAATATACTTTGAATGATAAGAGTACGGTCAAAAGCTTCTCTTGCTTTAAAAATAAACTTGGGAGTCTTTTCTGATTTATTCTTATCATTTAAGAACATCAGCAGGGGATGCTTAAACTGTGCCACAGGACTGTGCCACATAGCCATATCAAAATCCAGCTAGAGGCATAAAATACCACAGTTAACACAGGTTATCAGCATCTGACCCACACAGACTGCAGAAACAATATAGGAAATAACTTCAACATGGCACAAAAAGAAACTGTATCTTTCACTGCACTTTTTTCCTTACAAAGGTCTTAAATTAATAATCTTACCTCTTATCACATTTCATAATAGCAAATAGCAGTTATTATTCCTTTCTTGATAATATGTTACTCTGGTTTCTCTTCAGACCGTATAAATGTTCAAGATTTTAGAATGTTAAAGCGAACTTTATAGTTTCCTTACTATTGCTATCATCTACTTCGCTGAAAATTCATATTATATTGATTTATTCCAGTGTTAATATTACTGCATTATTTGTAGCAAATACTGGGTTTCTGAATAGTCTATTAATTTAGTTCAACACCCTGATCATATCTTTTAAAGTGAAACAGAAGCCAATCAATGCAGAGAAAGACAGTGAAAAGAAATAATTTTTAAAAAACAGCAGAACAAAAGCATTTCCTTCTTGAAACAGCACCGCATGCTGATTCTGAAACCCCAGCAGAGCGCAGCACAGAGACACTGTGGGCTTTAGAAAACCCAGCAATTATGTTACCTATCTCTTCATTTGCTCTTTACCTAAGAGTTGTGATCTACTCCTAGCATCTACCATCACTAATGGATTTCCTTGTCCTTCCACGCAGTGAAGGGAATCCAGATTCTTCTGGAGCACCTGTTAAAGAATTCCCTGGCTCTGCACCTTCCCGCACCCGGGAGCAGGAGGGCAGCGAGTTCAGGCCTTCCCATCCCTGCAGGCTGGCGGGGGTAGGAGGAGAGCAGCGAGCTGGGGAGCAGACACTTCTTTGCAGACTGTCTAGAAAGTTCCTATCCATTTAAGTCCTCTGTGAAAACGCAAGCAGAGCCAGCAAGGGCTCCAGATGAGCAAGCAGCAAGGAGAAAACCAGCAAAGCGCCCACACTGGAATGTTTCTGGAAATCGCATTAGAACCTGTTCTGCCCTTTTGTTCTTGATGCAGTTAAGTGTTTTAACCAAAATAATAGCGCTCTCATCAGAAAGTAATTCCAGTTAAGTTTAGGAGAGGACTAGATGAGATTACAGAATGATGCAACTAGCAGCTAATACATTTACAGTTTGTAGTTAATTTAGACACAGGTTCCAAGTGATAACTTGGACCCTGTGCTAGTAGGGTCACCCGCATAAGGCTGCCTAGGTGTACTAGCAGATTGAACAGGCAGTTAAACAGCCATCAGCATTGGTGTGTTCCCTATGAGAGTCCTGCTGTGTGCTGTGGCACCCTGAAATGTCTTTTCCCTGCTGGCGACTGCAGACCTGCATTCAGCTAAGTCACCTTCCAGGGACCGGCCTCTGCTTCCCTCCCTCCTCAGCGTGGCTCCTCCTCCCGAATCACTGGGACTGGGAAAGCCAGAGGAGAGCTGTGTGTCCCAAGGAGGGTCACCACGCACGAGCAGCACACCCTGGGGAGGGACACCACTGCAGACTTAATGGAAGGGGAAAGGATGATAATGCCAGTCACTTCCCCGACCCCTATCTCAGACTGCTCAAATCCAGACACCACAGCCAAAGCATTTCTAACACCACAGCACACCACAGCATTTCTAACAATGCGTCTTTTTTCTTTAATACAGCCCTGCCGGCTTCTTTGAATTGGAACTGATGAGTTGGAGTTTCCAAACTCTAAGAAACAAACTCCAAGAAACAGAAATAAATATTTTTTTCTGGTTTCTGTTTTGGAGAGAAGCTGGCAGCAATAGAAATAGCTGAGTGCTCTGAACATTTTCCTTGGTTAAGCTGCATTCATCATCTGTGTAATGGAATATGCTCTTCTGTTCAATGTTAACATTTCAAGTATAACCCCGCATGGCAGGTGCATGACTGAATACTCACAGAGTTTGCATTTTATGGGGTGAGTGGTAGTTTTATACCGGGACCCCAAAGACACGAATTAAATGGGGCAGGATTTCTAAAACTGAACATTTTAATTGCTTCCTCCATCAAAGGTAGTATTTCTGTAAAATATGCAGCAGCGTAACTGTACCACAAAAAGTTTCTTGCCAAGTCTGGAGACTGAACCCAGTCATTTAATTTTACAACAGAAGGCCCTAATTCTGCTTGAAACACTAACACCGAAGCAACCTCAAACTGCAGAGTTAAAGCAGACGCACTCGCTACAAACACATGTAGATAATAATCATTAATACCCCCAGTTAAACTGTGCAGTAATTACAAGTATTTAAGGAATGTGAACACTCACTGCTGTGTCTGCATGAGAGGCATGCTGGTGTTGTCATAGGTGTCCCCGTGAAGGGGCGGCACAATCTCGCCGGTGACCGGGTGGAAGACGGGGAGCGTTGAGAGGGGCCACGCGATCTCCCTGTTCTTGGACATGTCACGAAGCTCTTTGGTTGACTTCTGGATAGCACTGTGGTGCACCAACTGAATGCTAGGTCAAAAGGAGATAAAACAGTAAATATGTATATATTTTTAGTGCTCTAAATGGGCAGATGATCATTACTTTAAAACACAAGCATTTTGATGCATGCTACCTACTCAAGAGCACAGCAATTACAGTCAATTTTCAGATTAACATAATTAATGTAAGAGAGGATCTATTTAATTTTGAAGGCAGTAACGATTTCATTAGCTTTGCTGTCTGGATGAAAAATGTTGGACAGGATCCAAGACTGTACAACTTATTGCTAATATTCCATATATTTGCTGCTGTTAAAATAAACATTTTCATAACTCCTGCTTCTTATGGTGGACTCATAAATATTCATAAAAGATTAATTTTATAACAC